GATCGGCGCGGTGGTACAAAGACAGCAGGAGCGATGGGACAACGGTCAAATCTTCTTTTACCATCCCTCATCGGCGGTGCGAGGGTTACGTGCCACGTGGACACACGCCCGCACTATTCCACCTAGACCGAGTACGACGCCGACCGCCGAGGCCCCCGTGATCGCACGCTGGGCACGCCCGAGCCTCGGATGGATAACTAACTCTCCGCCTTGCTAGTGGCCTCGCGCCGAGAGGCCTCGGACAGAAACCGATTCTCGACTCGCCGAGACCCCGCCTAAAAGGCCTCGGGACGAGTTACCAACGCTCCACCTCGTTCAAGGCAGGCTCGGCAAACCACCCCATCGCCTCGCCTCGACCAACCACTCCCACGGCGTCATCCGGATGACGGCTCGATGCGAGAGGAGTGGCCGACGAGACGCATAAATCACATCGACACCATGCCGCCCGAAACAAGACAAGGCGGGAGGTATGCAAGCCATCGGCGCGCGATCTTGTGCCCACGACTAAATGTCCATACCGCACTGTGCTGCCTAACTCTAACTACTCCGAGGACAACACGGCATGGGAGTTAAGCTCGGATCCTTGTAGCCTCGGAATCAGTGTGCAAGGTCAGCCGCTCCACCCACGCCTCGATAATTTACCTCAGGGTCTCGACAACCTTGGGGTTCACACCTGCCGAGCTCCCCCACGATGGCTCGGCCTCGGCACTTCGTGCGGACAACGCACTATGACCGGCACGTCGCTCGTCAGGCCCTACATCAAGCTATTACGTCGCACAGGATCGGATGTGACCGGTGCCTTTGCCGGCGCCAGGCGAGAACCACTCCATCGACTATTCCGCCACATCAACAAAGCACTGTGGTCTGGACAAAGTCGCCTCTGTTCACACGACGCCATGAAACTAGCGCATGTATCACCCCCATCCCCCCTTCTACTATAAAAGGGAGGGACCGGGGCTGTTTCTAGGGGGACGGGGGAGACGGGCATGAACTGGAACACACTTAGGCACATACGAACTCACGAGGTAGACGAACACAGGCTGTAGCACCCACACTTAGATCAACGTCTCGAGCAATTCGTCCCGTTTATCATAGAGACTTGGGGCTAGCTCCTTCTCTCGCCCTGCTTGTAACCCTCTACTACGAGCACTTCGGTGCAAGGAATACAAGATCGATCTCTTAGACTGGACGTAGGGCACTGATTGTCTGAACCAGTATAAACATTATGTCTCTTTACATCACCATCCGGGATTAGGAGCACGCAGTACAAATTTACTAGTTGGTTGAGGACCCCCGGTCCGAAACAACGACAACAACGATGACATATCGTCTCTCACCCAAAAAATGATACTAAAATAAATCTAAAAAAATAGGCTCGAAACACTTGTTTTATGAAAACCAATCTACTTAGGCATATCGTCTAGCCTCGTTTATATCTAAATTCATAATAAAAGTTACTCCTTTCATTATAAATTATAAGATATTTTGGTTTTTCTAGGTACATTGTTTCTACTCTGTTTCTTATCATATTGTATATTTAAGTGTATAACAAAGGTCATAAATCTAAAAAAGCCAAGACGTTTTATAATTTGGAACGAAAAAGTAAGTATTTAGAAAAAAAAAAGCTAAAATATATTATAATTAAGAACGAAGAGATTATATTTTACAGTGATTTCAACTCCATCGTATATCACTATTGTAGCACCATTACCACTGTACAATGAAATCGTTTTACTCTCTCATCGCCAATACGCTTGGCGCCACTGAAACAAGCTTTAGGGGGCATCACCGGCTCTAGCTAGGACTACGATCTTGAAGCTGAAGTCCTTCGAGCATCGAATCCGACCCTTTCTTCCCCGTACTCCATCCTCTCTCTCTCCTTGTACGCGTTTTTGACTACCTCGTGCTACCCTAGCTCTAAGACATAGGTCATGTTCACTTATCTTATAATTTATTTTTTTAATTTATTTTTTAATTGAAATAATATTTTTCTCTCACAACAAATCAGTCCGAATAATGTTTTGTGCACTAAAGGACATCGTACGCACTTCGACTCCATCATGCTACCTAGCTGCCCAGCCCATCAGGCTAACCCCAATTCTACATCGTGTCTTGTAGCCTCAAGTAACACGTCTACACTTGCTCTCCACGTCACATCAGTGGTAGTCTCGCAGTATGTTGAATAGCCTGCAGAGGTGCCGACCGCCTCATCTGACAAAAAGCTCAAGCAACCAGTGGAACGAGCGTTGTAGCGAACCACACCTCTGGCACGCACATAACAACCACAGGGGCGGGGAAGGGGAAAGCAACGAGGGTCCCGTTATCTGGTTTGTTCGACTTCTTTTTTTAACTAGAACTGTGTTTTTCTCTCACAACATTTTAGTTAGAACAGTGTTTTTCAATCAATTTCAGTCAAGATTCAACAACCCGAACGGGACCTAAGTGGAGAAAGCTGCAAAACTAATGCATGGTGGAACTAAAAAAAATAGTTTCTTATGTTACTTGTGTTGTGATGAGACTGTTTTCCTCACCTTCTCCTCATCTACGTGGACTACAACTTTAGTTGAGGTTGACAAAGCTATTGGATCGCGTTTGTCGTTCCCCTAGAGGCCATTGTGGCCGCCACGACAGACATTGAGGGCATGTTTGCTTCCTAGCTTGGAAAACTTGCCTGAGCCAACCATCCATCCCAAGTGTTCATTTTTAGCGCCTGGGTTGGATCAACCTGCTTGGATGCAACCCCTCACACTATTACAGATTGATCAATCACCTACGTATTTATCACCGTCGGTATCATTAAAAACGATGGTAATAGCTATCACCAATAGTTCGTAATAGGAACCGTTGGTGATGAGAGTATCATCGCCGGTTCGTAAGAACATCCAGATCTATAGCTATCACCGCCGCTTCGTCTTACCAACCGACGGTGATAGTCCATCATTACAGCCGGTTTGCACCACCAGCCGGTGGTGATCATGTGCTCCTCATCACTGCCGCCTAGCCATATGAACTAGTGGTGAAGACATTTTCACCGTCAGCTCGTTGTATGATACGGCGGTGATAACCATGCTGTAGTATAAATAAATTCATAACTTTTTCAAATAAAGTCAGATGAAAACAAATTTTATATCAAAGTTGTAGATCTCGACGCAATCAACAACCTTGTAGTTGATGACTTTTTCATTTGAAACCATGTACGATCCCATAATTCTATTTGAAGCGCTCAAATTTTGAAATTCACTTTTTCCAAATTGTACAAACGACTCTAGATGAAAAAATGACTAAAACCAAAGTTGTAGATCTCGATGAGATATACAACTTTGTAGTTGACAACTATTTCATTAGAAATATTTTATAGTCTCAAATTTGTATATGAAGTTTTAAAATTTTAAAAAACCAAAATTTTCAAACAACCTTGGATAGAAAATCGACCAAAACCAAAGTTGTAGATCTCGATGAGAACAACAACTTTGTAGTTGATGAGTTTTTCATTTGAAATCATTTGAGGTCCCAAAAGTCTGGCTGAAATTTTGACGTTTTGAAATTCAAATTTGTTAAACGACCTCATGTAACGAAACAACCAAAATCAAAGTTGTAGATCTCGATTAGAACTACAAATTTATAGTTTATGATTTTTACATCTAAAGCCATTTAGGGTCCTAAATATTTATTTTAAATCCTGAAAGGTGAATACTAGGAGAATAAATATATATATACTATATAGACACAAGTGACTTAGAGGTTGAGTGGTTAAAAGAGAGTGGTTAGAGGAGCAAAGGACAAAGGTCTCAGGTTCGGAAAATAGCGTAGCGCGGAGTTGGAGCTGGAGCTAGAGCAGCTTTCCGGTACCATGAAGCTGGAGCTAGTGGGTGGCTTCCTAGGATTAAAACAAAAAAATTTTTTGCTATTTTTTGACCCGTTTTAAAAATTTTGAAAATTCAAATCACCGTCAGCTAGTAATACGAACTGACTGCGATAAGTTATTATTATCGTCGGTTGCAAACCGCCGGTGATGAGAATGTTATCATCATCGACAGCTTATTGTCGAGACCGAAAAACGTTAATGATGAGCTTTACAACCGCTTATGATTAACCAAATAGGTTCGGACTTTTTTTGGCTGGTGTGGAAACATCCCTCCCATAGATAATCTAACTGACAATTCTGAGATGCAAGACGAATCTCCTACTGGGGCAGGAGCAATGCAAGCATACACTTTCGTTGGCTTCGACAAAAATTTGAAAAAAAACACGTAGACATGAAAAACTAAGGCTACTAACCTATCCAACGCTAGCTAGACCTCTTTGCCAGAGCTATCCTGACTTTTGGTGGGTGCTCCAATCTTTAGTCAGATGGGGCAGCTGTTGTCTCTACAGGTTACTCTGCTCCTCAGCGAAACCACTGATGCCTATGGCATGAAGATTTGCGTTCTATTCGTTTGGGTTTGTTTGACTTATTTTAACTTGTTTTTAATTAATAAATAGTATTTTTTTCTCATACTAAATTAACCAATAGTATTTTCAATCATGGCTTATAAACCAAACACGCGAACAGGCCATTGAGCCTACATGAAAGGTTAGGGCTACTAGGCATGGTACGTTGAGGAAAACCTCACTAACTGCGGACTCGACACTGGGCCTAAAAAAGCCGAACTTAAGAGTAGATGTCAGCTTAACACACTCCACAACATTTAACTTTTCCAAAGGGAGAAGGAAGAAATCAGCACGAGCATATTTTCCTTCTCGACTCCAGTTTAACCCGAGCCATTGATCTCAATATCCAACGGCCAGGCAGCCAGTCAGGAACGCCCAACAGTATTTTCCTTTCCTCCGACGAACGGGGCCGGTCAATGGTGCAGGGACGCGAGACGTGCACGTGCACCGCTGCGCTATCGCCGTTTCGCCGTGCTGCTCTGCTCTGCTCCGCTCCTGTTCCAGAGGCGCACGCCGCACCACGGCGAGCCACTCCACTCCACTCCCACTCGCACCGGCACGGCGGCGACATGCTCCCGCTCCTCTCTCCTCCGCGCCCTGGTGCCGCGCCCCGCGCCGCCGCCAGGCCGGCCGTCATCCTCCCAGTTGTGCCCTCTCCCTCCCCTTCTCCTCCCTTCTTCCTCTTGCCCTCTCGCTCGTGTGCGTGACGCGCGGCGTGTCGTCGTCGTAGTGGCGCAGGGGCTCGGGAACAACACGGGCGACTACGCGCGGCTCGCCGCGGCGCTGCAGGACGACCACGGCCTCCCCGCGGCCGTCGTGGCGCGGGTCACCCGCCCTGACTGGCTCCGCAACGCCGCGGGCCTCGCCGACGCCAGCTACTGGCGAGGCACCCTCCGCCCGCGCGCCCCGTGTTCGACTGGTGAGTGCTGACCCTCCCGCGCGCGCCCCCCCCCCCCCCCACACACACACCCACCCACCCCCGCCGGCGCTGTGGTGCTCCGCCAGGGTCGGTCAGCGTCGCGGCCGGCGTTTCACCAAACACCTCGCCTGCATTGCGCTGCAGGTACCTGAAGAGGGTGATGACGCGGTGTCTGAGGCGAGGGAGCTATGCGCACCAGGTTTGTCTTCCTCCTCCAGTCCTAGAACAAATCTAGAAATGCTAACGTTCCATTGGTGGTTACTGTGTAATTAATTGCTCGCGATTGCAAGAAAGCAAATTAGTGTGTGTCTGTGTGATGTGTTCATGCCTGTCTGGATGAAGGTTTTGGTATATAGGATATGCTGTCCAAGCCCACAGATTGTTTACTGAAATTTAGCTGCTAACAATGCAAGTGCTAAGCTGCTGAACAACATGAAGTTAAGAAGACTCTTCTTAATTCTGAACCCTTTGCTACTTGCAGGTGGGAAGATATCATTGATAGGGCATTCAGCTGGGGGCTGGCTCGCGCGCGTGTACATGGCGGAGTTTGAGGCTTCCGACATAAGTTTACTGCTCACCCTTGGCACTCCTCACTTGTATGGTTTCTTTTCACACGCTTGTTGTGTGCTTGTACTTACAGTCTGATGGTGGTCATCCTTTCCTTTTCCTCAAATCATGTTTGAAGTGAACTAGTCTATGATTAATGGCTTAATGTTTATGCTGGTGTTTCTTATAAAAAAATGGGTGTGGCTCTTATCTTGTGCATAGGAAACTGAAGAAAGTTGACTTTACTACTTCCTGTTTGTACGATTGGTAGACAGTATGCTAGGTTAAAGATCTCCCAACCATCTTTCTCCCATTTATACCTCTGCAGCTATACACATTCTAGCTGTAAATGAAACTGTTGAATGTTGGTAACTCCTGCAAGGCTAGAATTGCCATTCGATATCATGTTAGAAATATTGAAAAGCATAGTTTCGAAATCAAATGCAGAACATACCTTTGTTTTATTTGAGTTTGACCTCTTTCGTCTTAATTTTCTCTAATCATTAGGCCTCCTCCAAAAGGTGTACCTGGGGTAATTGATCAGACTAGAGTACTACTGAACTACGCCGAGAAGAATTGTGCTCCAGCAGTTTATACGCCCAGAATTAAGATATGTGTGCATTGCTGGAAGGTACCTTTCTTCAGGCTAGGATTTCAGGGTCTTGCTGCTTCCACATTGATTCACTATTAAACTTTTTTTTGGGTTTGGATTACATTAAGTTACCCTGAGGATGCATAATTGCTGAAGCAAACCTAGTATTATGTTCGGGAATGCTGGTGTTATCAGTGTTAACTTCATCAAAGAAAGATAATTTAAAAGTCAAGCTGGCAGATTTTTTAGGTTGGCTAAACTTGTCAATTCGTCCTGAAGTTTAGTCCCCATAGAATATACATTTTTCTGAGTTTGATGTTTTAATAAATGAGATAGGTGCAGTGGTGTTATCTGCGTTAACTTCATCAAAGAAAGAGGATTTAAAAAGTCAAGCTGGCAGATTTTTTTGGTTGGCTAAACTTGTCAATTCGTCCTGAAGTTTAGTCCCCATAGAACATGCATTTTTCTGATTTTGATGTTTTAACAAATGAAACAGGTGCAGATTCCAGCATGTCCTTCTATTATGAACACATAAGTTCATGTATCATACCATCTTTATTGTATCGCAGGTACATTCAAGGTGCTCCTCTTCTGGGGAACTCCGCAGTTGCTTCTGATGAGATCCTTGCAGTTGACACTCCTTCAGAAGGAGGTGAGGCTGTTATTGTCAGTACCAATGAAAAATCTACTCCATCAAGTGTCACATGGAGAGCCCGGTTCGTCGGGCAAGGGTACAAACAGGTATAAAACTGCAAAACACTTTATTTTCTGAGGGGAGGCAGGATGTTATGGTTCAGCTGAGATAGTTTGCCAATCGATTGCGAAACAAAACCATTTGACATCAAATTCACAACTAGGTTTGTGGCCGAGCGGATGTGTGGGGCGACGACGTTGTTCCTGAAATGGCAGCGCATCTGGAGGGAGCACTGAACATAAGCTTTGATGGTGTGTACCACTCTCCGGTAGGCTCTGATGATGAAGAAAGGCCCTGGTATGGCTCTCCGGCAATCCTCAAGCAGTGGGTGCATCACCTTCTCAGCTGAGATGGCATACAAGAGCTAGCTGCCGGTCCAGCAACTGGAAGGGTGCCCTACATTTGAGATGCCACCAGGCCCACCAAAGGGGAACTTTTTCTCGGCCTGAAATTGGAGGGCATGATATAGCAACGTAAATCCTGAAGGGGGCAATTGTGTGTTGTCAGCTTCTGTAGACAATTTAACCTGAGGTCAGCTCTGTAGATAATTTAACCTGAGGTCATTTTGTCCAAAATATATTGGACGTGGTATATTTCACTCCTTTGTCTATGCATCAGATCACTAAATTTCTTATTGTATGTATAGCGTATTGCATCGGTCTATATGTCCTGAGGATAATTCAATTCCTCTGTTAACCAAAAGCTCTCAAAAGAACAAAGAAATATTTTGTAAGCAACAGAACTAGAAAGAAATATTTTGTAGAACTCGCAGAGTCAATAATATAGTCATCTGCAGCCGGTCTGTTTATCCAGGCATCCAGCGATGACAACAGAGTGCCAGCACAGCCACAGTCCACAGAGCACATCAGCGCATAAGTACAAGCTTATAACAGGCTGCAAACTGAGTATAACTCTAAAGAACGCAATGCCACGCATGGGAACATAACGCTAGATCACGAATCAAAGATAGTGATGAACGTGGACTTAGAAGATTTGCCATTAGCAGACTAAACATTTCCCACATCAAAGTGCACGCCGGTGCCCTCACAGGATGGTAAGACCAACAGAAACACTGGGAATCCTTTTTACATGCATCACACCCCAAACCCAACTGCTGAACAAAGTCTGTAGTCTTAATGCCATCACACGATTTCGGCTTAACTAACTAGTGGGACCTAGACTTAACATGGATCACAAAAGAGGCCATCCAAATAAAGTCGTAGACTAAAGCGCTATCGCTGGCTCCATGGACTGCTTCTAGTTCTTCAAAAGTGTGAGGCGCAGCAGCTTCATGATCTCCAGCATTCCAATCCGGTCCCTCCCACCAAACAATCTTTTGAGTGTGGCATCACAGTTGATCTCCGTTTTCTTGGCTGGGTCCTGCAAACCATGAAGAGCTTTCCTTTATAGTTCAGGGCACAAAACTGTTCGACGCAGACATCTATAGTATAACACGGCAGCCAGTGTAAGCAAGTCACAGAGTACTCTGCAAACCAACAAAGAAGTGAAGGGGCTAACAGGCCATACTATAATTTATTTTTTCTGTGGCAAGTAGAAGTAACACAGAGGAATTGCTACAAAAATGCTCCATCAATACACAAACACAGGTCATATAGCCCAACCTTGCCTTCAGGATCATATATCAGAAAAACAGAGTACAATATTAAGTCAAATAGACATCTACAGCTTACTTTAGAAGGCGCATCTGAACATACAAAATGTATTATACCTGTCACATAATGATACTGCAAGAAGAACATTATGACCTCGGAACACACCTCCACAATGCACTCAAACTTGAGTGTCCAGATGTTAAGAAAAATGTGACTGTCACTTAACTTTTCAGGTCACTGAAGAGTTGGAACTAATACCCCCGCCCCCCGCGCCCCCAAAAAAAAAAAAGAATCCATTGCAGCGCAGCACAGTTTGTTATTTGTCAAAGCACACACAAATACACCTCAACAAATCATGAGGCATACTAACCACAAATCATGAGGCATACTAACGAAGTTGAACTGATTGTACCAAAGGAACATCATATGGAACTGACTGTACCAAAGGAACATCATATAAATCATGAACGGTAATTGACTATTCACATTCACCACAAACACAAACTAGAGACCAGACTCGCTGAGATCACCAATGCTTCTGACTTACCACTAGAAAGGATGACCTCAACCTTTTAGAACTTTTTAGTGTTGCCCCAACACAGTGGAATAAAAAAGCAAAAACGGGGTACAGAATGGTGATCAACTTTGCCAAATACGTCATCACTAGGCGCACTGGACTTCCCTTTCCAAAACCCCAACCTTGCCAATAGTTTGGGTAGCACAGGCGAAACCCTAACCTAACCCCACCGAAATGGATTTCCTCACCCCAAAATCACAATCCAACCTACTATAATACAACGAAACAATATTAGTTTCGACAAGCAAGTGCACCCAGATTAAACAACGCAGTCAAAAGCGAGAGGCTCTAGACCCGACCGACAGGACACAGGAGGGGCGAGCGGATGGTGAGAGTGACGGGCTACCTGGAGGCCGTGGGCCTTGATGTGGGCCCAGATGAGCTTCATGGCCTCGGAGCGTGCGACCTCGGGCGCGCCGCCGGCGAACCTGCTGAACTCATCAGACACCGGCATCGGCTTCCTGATCCCGGTCGGCGCCCTCGGCTCCGTGGACGCCGCCTTGGTCCGCTTCTTGGTCGCCGCCGCCGCCGACGCCGCGCCTGCCTTCTTGGCCCCCGCCGCCGTGCCCGCCGCGCCCGCCGCCGGGGACATCAGGAAGAGAGACCCGCGAAAAACCCTCGCTACCGCCGCCATCTCCGTTGGGTCGTCCTCGAACGCTGGTCCCGAGGATTGGATGGAGGGGAGGGGAGGAGGGTTTTGGGGAGATTTAGGGTTACGGATTGAGCGGCCTCCCCCCTAATACCCTTTTGTATTTGGGCCCTGAGTGGAGACCAAGGAAGACGAACGGAAGGAAAACCAGGGTTTTTACATCAAGGACCTTGTGCCTCTTTGGATTTAGCACTAGCACTAATTTGTTTCTGCAAATGGGTGTCTGCAAGTGGGTCCCTGTACTCCGTAGATGGTGGTGATGGTGATACGAGCAACGGTAAAGCACTGACCAGCGGCAAATTAGGAGGGTTTTTATGGAATTTATCACGCGAGCTTGAACAAATATTCCACTTTTCGAACAACAAACATAAAATGTTACTCACTTCAGGCCTGTTCTGAAGAGCTCCAAAAAAAAAAAAAAATTGAAGCTGCAGCTACGTGCAGATTGAGGCTGATTGGTCAAAGCTATCTTTTTCTTAGTTTGAAGCTCAAAACACAGATTTAGGCTCCGGCAATTTTTGTGAAAATGCATTGATTCCTTTGAAGTTCCGGTGCAATTCCTATTTTCCAAAGCAGTCCTTATCCAATGTGAATTCTAAATATTGTTGTAAAAAAAAATGTGAATTCTAAATATTGCATGGATCTTAGAGCTGATGCGGGCACAGATAATTCAATTAACAAGCAGCTAAAAAAGAAAGGGGCATGAATGTCACGTGGTACAAAAATGGAGGCGTTAGTCTCTAACCAACTGCACATAAAGGGGAAATTATCACAATGTCCAACTGATCACCTTTCATTGCACAGAAAAATTGTAATTTCCAAAACAATATTTGCTTTATCTGAAGAATTGTGTACAACACACAGCGAGATTATTTTGATTGGTACAGTTAGCTACCAGACAACATTTTGCGGCTGAGTGCAACAGATTCACAGCTGTTTGTTTTTGTAACCAGCTAAATGAAAAATATATGGTCAGTTTCTTCATTCCTTTCTTCAATCCTTTGACCTTCTTGTTTGTAGCGTTACTCAAAAATGGGCAGATCAAGAGGCTTATTCTTTGGCCGGTCTTCAGTGTCTCTTGACGAAGATGACAATGACAGCGCAGAGAAGGCCTTTGCTTGGGATTCTTTATCCATGTCCAAGAAGAAGCGATGCCTAGCAGGAGCATAGCACAAGAGCTTTTCAGAGTCAGGAATAAGAGGGCTAAACCACTGAACGAGTGGATGGTATGGTATCAAAGGAACATGCTTACCATCTGGAGTCTGATGTCAATTCTGGATGGAAAGCAGTTGCAAGGATGTTCCCTTGACGTACTGCAACAATTACCCGATCTTTTGAATAAACTTCTTCCTGATAGTATATTTCTGGTCAGTTGACAGAGGTTAAGCATGTCTCATTCAGAACACAGAATTCAGTGTTACAAGATTGCCAACTAGTATTTTCGGTTTTTTTTTTCTAATAAGGAGAGACTTAGCCAATTCCCAAAAGGCACGATCAGGTGAACACATCTTACGCAGAAACACAAACCAAATAACAAACAAACGTCACTGTGATAGGGAAGTCCATTTTAATGGATGCTTTAGCAGACCAGTAATGCCCTAAAGTGAGGGAGACAGGAGACAAATGTGATAATAGTACTCATAGTCCATTTGTCTGAATATTAGAATAATTAGAAGGACTACACAAGAACGCAGAGACCACATGTAGAATCAGCAAGTTATATGTAAGTATGCCCACATATGATCGTAGTTCATAGCACCATCCTGTAGCTGCTTTCCCAGAAATGGCCATATCCACTGGCTCACTACTGATCATATGTGGAATCAGCAAGTTATATGTAAGTATGCCCACATCTGATCATAGTTCATAGCACCATCCTGTAGCTGCTTTCCCGGGAATGGCCATATCCACTGGCTCACTACTCATTGAAGAACTAAAGGCAACTATTAAAATGAGAGGAAATAATGAGCACTCATCCTAAAAAGCCGGTTTACTAGAAATACATCAGAACTCAGTTTGGTCATTTGCAGACAATTGTAGTATTATAGTAAAAAAAAAGCAACATACAAACCTCAGTACCCTCCCCAAATGATACTGTAATGCTGGGTCTGTCAGCAGGAACAGGGCAATCAGCCAATATTTCAACATCTGGACCAACTTCCAATATAGCAGGTGCCCGTATAAATACACCACGGCATGTATCATTCCCTCCTTCCTTCTCTGAAAGCTTTGGCACAGAAAGCTCTGTCTCAAAGCTTTGAAGCTGCAAGAGAAACAGTCTGCAATGAAACATGGTGTTCATATTTGTGTTTAACTACAATACAAAAAGCCTTTAAACATGCAAAACTCAATAAACTGCCCATCAACAGGCCACATGGTCCCCGAATTTACCTGACTCCCAAAAAAGTTTCGGTGGACAGTACAATCTAGTCCTCCGACAAGTTCCTGACCCCCTGTTTTTTGCCCTGCAAGTAACGCTATTCAACTAGCATGACATTCTATTAACTGGTTTCCAAAAAAAGAGAACATGCCAAGTATAAATTGGTGACCCACTCACCTACTGCTTTGTTTGCGAGAAAGATGAGCCCAGCGCAGGTTCCCCAGACAGGCTTTCCACCTCCGACAAACTCTCGAAGTGCAGGGAACTGCACGGCAAATGGAAGTGAGATTTTTGCAAAGCTATAAGCAATTAGGCAGGTCATAACTATACAATATCAGGCATAAAGAAGTTCAGGAAGTGAAATGTCATAAAGGAAGTGGCACTCTCCAGTAAAACTATTTTCTGCGAAACTATCTCATGGAAACATGTAGTATGCACCAGCATGTGACAGTATCTACTGACCAGGAAGCCAAGAACACAAAATTTCCATGATTGAAGGCAACCAACACTGGCCTACAAGGCTACAACCCTTATTCCATGGGCAGAAGGTGTGGGTAAAAGGATTCTCCCACTTTATACTTAGGATTAGGAAATTTTAGTGTAATAAAGTGGGCAAAATTCCATTTCTTTTGTGTTAGTCTCTGTTTCCTATTTCCAGTTATTTTTTGCCAATGCAAGGAACCACTATTTCCCTGTGAGTCAGCAGTGTCTAGCCTAGGCACACCAAGAGCAGGATGCTCAACATCGTGTCAATCAATTTGGAAAAATATGGCTGTGCAACCAATAATCTGTACTATGAAGGAACAACACCCACTAATCAATCGTGTTCTATGTTTGTGCATCTCTATTCAATTTCCATCATCCACCAAATACCGCAGAGCGATGATTCATCTCCGGCTCCAGCCACTGAATCCGAGCACACAGAAAGAGTCACGAGCGACGTCATCGACGAACCAATCAGCATCAGCCACAAACAAGAAGGGAAAAAAAAGGAACGAGGAGAGCAGAAGGAGGAGGACCCACCCACCAGATTGTGGTAGTTGGCGAGCTTGGCCATGGTGGTGCTCTCGCCGCCGGGGATGATGAACGAGTCGACGCCGAGGAGCTGCTCCGGCTTGCGCACCTCCACCCCCTTCACCCCGATCCTCCTCAGCGCTGCACCCACCCACACACACCAGTGAAATCAACAACACGAGCATCTGCCATCTGGTGGGCAGCAGAAGGAGACGAAATCGGATTCCGTACCGGCCATGTGCTCGTTGTAGGAGCCCTGCAGCGCGAGGACGCCCACCACCGCCATTGCCCTCCTCCCGATCCTGCTCCGCCGACCTCGCGACGCGCGTTCCGGTGGGTGGGTGGGTCGGAGAGAGAGGCGAGGCGGCTGGTGGAGCGGAGTGGTTGGTGACGTCACAGGGAGCGGAATGGAAGGGGAGGAAGAAGCCGCACGTCGCCGAGGCGGCGGCGACCAGCCCACCACTCGGGGATATCGAAACGTTTCGGTGCACGTGCCGCTGCCACGGGGGGAAAAATACTGGGAGGTAGGCGACAGCCGCTCGTGGCCGTCCGATCGCCGTGGAGCCGTGCGCCCACGTCGGCGGGAGATCACCGCCGTCCGTGTTGTTGGGGTCCACCGCGGCGGGCTCGTTGTCAAGTCAGCGGGCCGGAACGGTTCGTGGGCCGAATGCTAGTACGGGCCGGGCGGGATAACGAAAGTCGTGCTACAATGCCAAGTTGCCAACCCAAAAGAAACCTTTTGGATAAAAAAGCAGGCGAACAACTCTAAACGCAGGGTCCACTCAAAAAAAAATCCCCTAAAAAAACTCAAAAAAAAAAAAACTCTAAACGCAGGGAATAGATGACAATGATGTCAGTTTTTTTAAGACAGACTGCTCATTAAGATTGTTTTATGGCACATGCTTTGTTTCATTTCAGTTGTTTTTTATATTCACTGGATGAGTGTCCGTACGTGACAATAGAAGAATATTTTGTATTCATGTTTGTTTGTTTTTGGGCAAAAATTTCATTGGTGATTTACTCAACTAAAAATACTTTATAATGCCTAAAAACCCCGGACTGGAGACATTTTTTATACTTCGCACTCACAGGTGACGAAAAGATAATTGGGCACAAGACTGATTGAGCAACATACTTTCAAGATTGATTATATATACTCCCACTGTCCCTAAATAATTATCACTATGGTATTCGTATCGGTCAAATTTTCTTAAGTTTGAATACGTTTGTAGAAAATATTAACAATATTTGTTTTTTCAAATAAGTTAATAATGAAAATAGATTCAACGATCTATATCACGATACTAATTATGTACTACAAATATTAATGTTTTCTTGTAAATATATTTGGTCAAAGTTGAAAACGTTTGATTTCTCGAAAAGCGAGAACGACGTTTATTTAGGGACACGGAAAGTACTTCCTAGAGCATGAACAACATTCATGCCGACTTGGACCGTGAACAGCGTTTTATTTTTTGTCATTAGAATGGTGTTATATCATTCATACCGCTCCCAGGACCCTTAAGTCATGGAATAATCAAACAGTTCCCTTAGCTTCAAGCTTATTTCAATGCAAGCGCGGATCATCTCTTGCAAATAATCTTTGCCAATATTATCACCATGAGAGTTTTACCTAACTGTGCAAGTATTTACTTGTGTCTTAGTAATAACTTACACTTTTGCCTTAGGGGAAACGATGTTTGAGAGCGCTAATTTTCAAAATATACATGTCAACATCAGCTCTTAAAGTATCCTATGTCGAAAATTTAACATTGCTGTTTCCACCTTGATTACGTAGTAGACAATTTAAGAAATTATTAGTGGTATTAGAAAATGGGAGGAGTACGTCATCCATGGCTTATAATAGGCCTGGTGCATCCACTTCAGTACACTGTATATTTCAGACCTTATTTTGCTATGTTGTTCAGGTGTTTCCATTGTCCACTCCGATATCTTATCCCCAATATGGTTGGTATATTATCGTAACAAGTGTCAAGAACACTGTTCAATCATCCATCCTTTCATTTCCCAAGAGCACACTATTTACCGCGACGAAACCGTTTTACCCTTGGCCTTTGGGCTTGATCACTAGAATAACATTATACTATGGTAGGGTTAAAATGGTCTTTACACAACCAAAATCTATAAAGCAAAGTTAGATTTCACTTCTGATCCTTCGGTTGTCCTCGCGTCCTCCGCAAGTCTCATCTCTCTAAAGCCTAGCACCATAGGTGTGCATTCACTAATAATGTGGAAGGTATCTTCACTCTAATGTTTTTTTGAAGCTACCGTACCTTTTTCTGGTGTCTTTCTGAAGGCATCCCTTCTAGAGGTCCCTCTCAAAGTGCTACGCTAAAGATCAAATTCGACGGTTAGTAGAGTAGTAAATAAAAACAACTGGGGACCTCTTTCGGACCTAGTGTCCCTCAACAATTTGCGTCTATGGTAAACTAAGATTTAAGAATGGCGATGCTTTCATGTTGGGAAGGAGTGGATCCTTCTTTTCTCGCCGAGCTGCCGGTCTCCCCTCTCCTTATACTCCTTGTCTGAACTAGTATTCCAGAGTCATGCGTTTGGTGGTGTGTAGCTTAGCATTGTTGGAAACATGTGGGGTGCTTGTGCTAGCGGCGGTCTGTAATGAATAGGGGGCAACTTGCTGGTAGCGACACAAATACCGAGGGGGGCCGGTAGGAACGAAAATCACAAAAATTTTGGTCGACCAAGGGAAATTTAAATTACCAATATGCACATTTACATGTCACGGGTAGGATTGAAAATGCGGTTGAAAGTGTGGTGTGTAGTGTTTTCGGCCGCACGGGGCGTGTTGATAGTTTTTTGGCTGTGTTTTCTCATTTCGGCTGCCTGATTATCGTCCCTCATTTTTTAAGCTTGACTATGGTCTCTTAAGCTTCCGATCTTGTAATGGCCGTATTAAAATCGAATTTTGGATGAAGATAAGCTAAAACCCCACCCAAACGCCTAGATTATTTCTCACATTATTGTTTGAACCGCAGCGGTGAAGTGAAGATATATAATCCGGCCCGGGGGCTTTCAGTAGTAGTCCGCGTTTTCTGTACCGTGACTCCGTGAGCCCACGCGCGGGTTTCGTCGGTTTCGTCTGCCGCGGCGGCCCTTTTCCCCTCCCGTTGCCCCTCTCCTCTGCTCGCCCCAACTCTTTGGTCCGCCGGCCGGACCGCCGCGCACTTCCCCGCGCAACGCCGCGCCAATATCCGCCTTCCCCGCTCGCTAGCGGTCCCCAAGCACTGCGGCCCCGCTCCATCCTTCGCCATCGTGGAAGAGAAAGCACTGCTAGCGGACGTCAGATCGAACGTGTGCTGTCTGCTGTGCAGGCCTGGGCCCGCTCCAGGCGGCACCGTGCTTGGAGAGTCTGGACGTCGTCAGGTACATGTACATGGGGGACACAGGCGGGCGGCTTCGACGTCGACTGCGGAAGCGCCGAGTTCGGTACGTGCGCGCGCTTCCTTCCTCTGTGTTAAGATTTGCTCCTCTGATGCTTCAATGAGTCTGTGCAACGTCAATCATGGATTTATGATTTATCTACTCGTTCCAATGTGGCCTTGTATCAACTTTAACTGTTGATATTCATCTCTACTTCCAATTACTATCAGCCCCAAATCATGTAGGTAGCTGTCTGCTGGAACAAACATTTCATCGAGTTCTGTTGTTTTCTACAGTTGCACCTTATTTCCTTATTTTGTGATGCTCAATCTTATATTCAGTCAGCAAATGAGCTATCATCAGTCTCAGAGGCATACAAGTCAATTTACAACAATCAGGATTGCCAAACACCCTGATTTGATGACTCTCGAGCCTCCTGGTAGCTGATCAGAATGTTTCTCACAACACAAGACAGTAATCGTGACGAAACCTTATACATTCTTCTGGATTATTATTCCTCTGGCAATTGTGGCCTGCCAAAAAACAACCATCACGTTCACCTCATCAACAACTTTACCCTCCTCGCTGTCAATGAAGATGTCTCCAACTGTTACTATGTCCATAGTTGCAAGAGCTCCATCATCAACTCTGGTGCTCAACACAGTGATCACCTCAGTGTAGTGCTCATTTGGTCGTGCACTGACCTGTGCTTGCATTGCTAGGGTGACACTGCACTTAGATCGTGGTAGAACGATGCCTCTCTCTGGCTCTGGGCCTGTTCGCTTGCCTGAATTTTGGAGGAATCTGGATGGTTTGGAGGAATGCTGGAGGAATTTGTGAGAGAAAAACACTGTTTCGGATGAAAAAATAAGCGGATCAAAGCCGGGTTTAAGGGCACGCGAACGGGGCCAGTGTGTAGAAGCGCTCTAGCTTTGCCTTTGTGACAAAGGCAATGTAATCATCCGTATCGGCTCTATTGAGTGTGATATCTTCAAGTCTCCAAATGCAATGTGTATTTCCAGCGGCTCTATCCCAAGAATGTCCTCCAAGCAACTAGGGCTTATCTGCGTGAGATAATACACATGGCTTACCACGGCTTACCAATGCATGCAAATCTAGTGCTATTTACGTTTTGTCAGGGAGCATATATATGCCCTTACCTGGATCTGGATTTGTCCATCTTTAGTATCTATTTCCTTCAGCTCATCTATTATATCTGATATATCAGGTCTGTCTGTTGGGTCATCTTGTATGCATCTTAGGGCCAACTCGAGACACTTTTTCACTTGTTGGTAAGCCAACAATGACTGTTTCATTGATTTAATCCACCGGTGATTCCACCTTCTAATTACCTGCCATGTTCACAATTAAAGTACTAATTAAAGACACACACACACCACCACCACCACCATAAAAAATAAGAAAAAACCGAAACAATTCTCATCTCTAGGAGGTTACCCAATCCCTCATTGGTGATACTTCATTACTTGGCCGCAAACTGCGACATAGGGGCATTTACATATTTATCATTATTACGGATGGCATCTTACACGGTGTCACTGACACGTAATGATGATGAATATGTAAATATTCCGCGACACAAGCATATCTCTATGAATGAAGGACATGCTCTGGCAGGACCATAGTTATGTACGAACTACCAATAGCTCATGAATTCACAACCACATATATAGGAAAATCTATTCATGATTATGAAAAATGTACAAAGGTGATTAGACCGTTTATCTTACTTTAGTAATATTGGGGACCGTTTTACTTCCAGTCACCAGCTCTATAATTATTACACCCAAACTATATATGTCTGACTTTCTTGTCGCTTTGCCTCCTTAAATGTATTATGGAGCGGTATATCCACTGCACAATAAT